TTGAGGTGTTTTGAAGGTTGGTATAAGTTTGAATAGTAATATATGATGTGTTTGTGTTGTTGGTTGATGTCTCGGGGGGCCTCGGGGTGGTTTCGGGTGGTTGACGGAGAGTTTGGAATTTTTGAAAAAGCTGCAGATTTTCTACTTCTGGTATTTCCGCACTTGCGGATTTGGGAACCGCAGGTGCGATGCCGCAGATGCGAGGAGGAAGGCCGCAGAAGCGGAAGAAGGTGAGAGAGACAGAAACCGCAGAAGCGGTTGGTGAACCGCACCTGCGATGGCGCAGGTGCGGCTGTTGCATTGCAAATGCGGAAAGCTGGAGGATAAGTGAAAACCGCAGAAGCGGTTCAAAGACCGCAAATGCGGTACCGCAAAAGCGGGGTTTTGGTCGCAAATGCGAAATCCCTGGACCAGAACATATAAGTTATTTCCTTCGCGATTTTCAGAGGGTTTCACCATTTTTAAAAGAGATTTCGGGAGTTGTGAGCGATTTTTGAAGAAGGATTTCGATGGAGCTTCATTGAGGTAAGGAATTTGGACCTAAAACTTGTTCTTATTGTATTAGTTCACGGATTAGGGCTGAGATTAATGGAAATTAAGCCAAAAATAGAGGAACTAGGGCTTAGAAACTTAGGCCTTTGATTGAGGATTTGGAAGACCATTTGTGGTCGGATTTTGGAACTTTTGATATGTATGAACTCGTGGGGAGATAAGGAATCTAATGACGTAAAATTTATCGAATTCCGAGACGTGGGCCCGGGGGTCGGGTTTTGGCAATTTCGGGAATTGTGTTGTTTTTCGATTGTTTTCGAGTGGGCTTTGTCCCTTTAGCATATTTTGATGATTACGTTCTGATTTTGGTAGATTCGGAGCATCCGGAGGCCGATTCGAGGGGTAAAGGCATTGTGAGCTAGATTTTGAACCGGATTGAGGTGAGTAATGATTTTAAATGTTGTCATGAGGGTATGAAACCCCGGATTATACAGCGTTTGGCTATGTTGAGGTGACGCACACGTTAGATGACGAGCGTGGGGTCGTGCACCATTGGGGATTGTGACTTAGTTCATCCCGAATTACTGTTTTACTGCGTATTTGATAGCTAATTGTTTGATATTATTATGTTTTGGGCTAAATGCCATATTTTGGCTTCGTGCCAATTGTTTGGACCCTTAGGGGATTTTTACTGATATTTTCCTCACTGTTTGATTTCAACCTTGTGCTCAGTCATGCCATAATTTACTGTTTTCAAAACTCAGCTATGTTATTCTGTTTTAAGCACCTTAAATGATATTTTTAAAGATATTTTTGAGCTGAGCTTCATGTTTACTGTTGCCCGAGGGGCTTATGAGATTCTGACTGAGTAAGGCCGAGGGCCTGTGTTGTAAGGATACTTTTGGGTCGGGCTGCACGCCGCAGCAGTGATATTCTGATTATGATAATAAGGCCGGGCCTGAGATTGTACTCCACGAGGTGGCTTGTGACTGATATGAGGCCGAGAGCCTGGATATAATGCCACGAGATGGCTTGATATTGCGCTTGGGCCGTAAGGGGCCCCTCCCGGAGTCTGTACACCCCCCAGTGAGCGCGGGTACCCATTGAGATATGAGATATAGCCTGAGGGGCTGGTATTGTTCGGGGCCGATTCTGTTGTTACTTTGCCCGAGGGGCAGTTCTTATGTGTTTATCATTTCTAGTTGTCTTTCCTATATATTGTTTGACTGCTTAAAAGGTATTTTATGAGATTTCACTGTTTGATTATGTTTATTGATTTTGTTCTGCCTCTTATAGCTTAAGGTTATGTTTAACGTGATTTTATATCGCTCAGTCTTCATTTAATGTTATTACTCACTGAGTTGGAGTACTCACTTTACTCCTTGCACCCCTGTGTGCAGATTCGAGCGCTACAGGTCCTGCTAGCGAGGGTTGAGAGCTGTCCAGCAGATTTCCGGAGATTTACTAGGTAGCTGCCCGACGATTCGCAGCCCAGTGTAATCTTCCTCTATCTTATTTCCTTTCTGATTCAGTTATGTAGTAGTCGAGTAGACTTTCAGACTCGTAGTATTATTTTAGATGCTCATGACTAGTGACACCCCGATGTCGGGCTGTGTTGGTTTTAAATTCCACAAATTATACTGTTAACCTTTATTTGGGGATTTTAATTCTGTTAAAGACTTAGTATTTATTATTTTAATTGCTTAAAGTGAATTGGAAGTGTGTCGGCTGGCCTTGTCTTCACGAGAGGCGCCATCACGACCGGGTCCGGGTTTAGGGTCGTGACAAGTTATGGGGTACGTGAACGCATGGTCTCTCCGTAAAACTAGATATTTTATGTACATATTTTCTAAATTTGGTATAATATTAACTGTTGGCACCCATGCTCCAAAAATGTTGAATGGTGTACTTGGTTAAATGTTGAGTTATTTAGCAAGAGGTATCCTAAAGTATTTTCTTTCGTTTGTAACAACAAAATCACTGAACTATGCCTATTGCACTCAGAAGGTCACTCAACTAGATTTTCCAAATTTGGATTGTCAAATACCCATTTTACCCTCTAAATTATAAATATTTATCTTCTTTTTATTTTTTTAACTTTTTAATATTATGATTTTTCCTTTTTAATTTGTATTATGAACTTACCTATAGAATGAATAAATAATATTTATAAATTAAAAAAATAAAAAGTATTTAAGCATATATAATGCTGGAATAACAAAATAATGAGCATAGTAAAAAAAAATTAATTAGAATAATTTGTTAGTAATAATACTTTCAGTATTGACAAAAAAAATTCAAAAATTTATTTACACAATTCAGAATGAAAGAAAATAAAGGTTGTAAAATATATATTTCATGCACGTAATATGAAATAATTATTTAAATAAAGGTATTTTTATAATATGCATTATATATTCTTGAAAGTTATGCTCAATTATATTATTATGTTTCTACCAACTTTCTGACGACACAAAGTTATTTCACCGGAAAGCAGGGGGACTATCTGTATAGGGTAAAATATGCTATGTTAAGTCGTGCAATATATATAATATAATTGAGCATAATTTTCAAGATTATGTAATGTATATTGTAAAAATACTTTTATTTAAATAATTATTTTTATATTACGTGCATGGAATATATATTTTACAACCTTTATTTTCTTTCATTCTGAATTGTGTAAATAAATTTTTGATTTTTTGTTGTTAATACTAAAATATTATTACGAACAAATTATTCTAATTAATTTTCTTACTACGCTCATTATTTTGTTATTCCAGCATTATAGATTCTTGAATACTTTTTTATTTTAATTTATAAATAATATTTATTTATTTTATAGGTAAGTCCATAATATAAATTAAAAAGGGAAAATCATAATATTAAAAAGTTTAAAAAAAATAAAAGAAGATAAATGTTTATAATTTAGAGGGTAAAATAAGTATTTGGCAATCCAAAATATAAAAAATCTAGTTTAGTGACCTTCTGAGCGCAATAGGCATAGTTTAGTGACTTTGTTGTTACAAATAAAAGAAAAATGAGTTTAAGAGATAATTTGAGATTGTTGAGTGACCATTTGAGTAATTGATTCCATAAATAGTCACTCAACCAGAAGTATCAATATTTCATGTGGAATAAAATGACATGACAGTCCGCATGAATTTTTTTATTATTTGACAAATAACATCCAAACAAAATATAAGAAATCTACCCATACACCCAATTCCCGACACAAGTCGCTAAATAAAAACCCACTCGCTTAATAAATAATAAAATAAACACTAAACACTAAACACTAACCAATTCCCTCAGACCCATCATTTCACGCTAAAGTACCAATTCATTTCTTCACCTATTCACCCAAAAACAATCAAGAAGCTATTCCATAAATTTTGGCCTTGTAAATATAACAGCAACGCTTCCTGAAATTTCACCATCAACCTCACCGTATTCATTTCCATTTGATTATGAAAAACAGATCTAGTCACAAAATTCATTTAGAGATATGCCTGCCAAGATTCATTTTGCAATTTTGTACTCGATGCCATGTTGAAAAGCTCAATCTGTACTAGAATGAAACTATGGAGAAGAAGAAGAAGAAGAAGTGAGTTGCGTGAAATGATGGGTTTTTTTGGTTAGTGTTTAGTGTTTATTTTATTAAGTGGGTGGATTTTTATTTAGCGGGTCGGGTCGGTTCGTGTGTATAGTTAGATTTTTATGTTTTGTTTGGGTGTTATTTGATCAAATAATAAAAAATTTCATGTATGCCATGTCATTTTATTCCACATGAAATATTGATATGAGTGACTATTTGTGTGCACTAGGATAAATTGAGTGATTTTCACGTTACAAACTAAAGTAACAAACTAAAATAAAGTGACTTTGTTCAATCATTTTGTATAGTTCAGTCATCATCCCCGTAATGGACTCCTAAAGAACATGTAAATAGTAGAATTCCTAATTCTCATCTTCACATTGATGGGAGTGAAACTGATGCTATTTGATGGAGTTTGTTGATATTTTGATTTTACAGCAGCATTATTGGACGGAGAAGCAACTGCAATTCAATTAAAACGAGTCATAGTTGAAGCCTAGCAAAGATGGGAAAATTTGCAGACTAGTGCGCGCTGTGCATGCAAGCACTAGTCGCGCGCACTTGATATTGACAGATCTTGGCCTAGAGATTCTTGACGTAGATGACTTCATTTTTTTGTTTTGCCTATTTTTCACCTTTTTCTTTGGCAGGTATGATCTCATCTTTTTATAATTTCCAAATACATTGTAGTCGCAGCATTAAGCTCTAGAAACAACACTATATTCGCATAGACAATCATCAATACAGAGTTCACTTTAATCCAACATATGAAAAGGAACATTTTGCACCATTATAACTCTTTACCAAGTGTAGAAACAGATTTCAGCAAACTGGAATCTATTCAAGTCCAAGAAAATTGATAGCACAAACAAGTGGATGATGAAGAAGAAAACATCGATTGGTATTACAATAACTTTCATGCTTACCTCTTTCTTACCTGAGCCATGACAAATTTAAGTATTGGACTATAACTAGGAATAGCAATATTTGACCTATCTATTGTTCATTTTCAATAACTCTCCTGGTTACCTCTTTCTTATCTGAGCCGTGAAGAATTTAGCCATTGGACTCTAACTAAGAATAGCACTCTTTGATCCACCATTTAGATTTGTCTACTAAATGCCTATCTCTTCTAAACAGTTGTTCAAGATTTGCTACTTTTACTGTCCAAGATCAACTGGACATGGCTTGGGAAAATAAAGTTGCTAGGAAAGAAAACAACATTTGAACAGTTTCGCGTAGATCTTTGTGACTTTTGATGTTTCTAACATTTTTCAGAGAAACACGCTTTGAAAATTTATATGGTTAGTCAAAAATCAAGCACTTCAATCAACATCTCAATTCAAAAACTTCTGACGTTATTTCCAGAGATTTGTTTCATTTTGGTTAGTGTGTACACAACTCCAGTATTTCTGATCTTTCAAGCTTTAAGATTACAGATTTTTCATGGCCAGTGTGAAAGAAAGACTAATCAAAGGGATGACAACCTCAGAAACAAACTCCAAAGTTGACTTAGCGTTCCTTCTTAAGATCTAGTGATGCAAAATCACCATCAGACTTAATGTTCTTGTTCAGAAGAAAATTCCACTCGTTTCTGTTGAAAGTAGGTGTGATGCTCCTGAAAAAACGATTCCTAAGTTTCTTATAAGTTAATCCTAGAAAGCATGAATATCCAATGACTTCAAAAGACATATTTGTGAAGAGAGTCTTCCAAAGTGTAATGGAGAAAGGTTGTATTCATCTTGCTGTTGTACTTTTGCTGCTTCAGCAAATGAATACTTGTTTGTCAATTGTTAATATCACTACTGATCAAACAGCACTTCTTACCTTGCGATCTCAATTTTCTTTATACGATTCTCACTACCTCTTAGCTCGAAACTGGTCCACTTTTACCCCTACTTGTAGTTGGATAGGAGTTACTTGTGGCCCTCGCCACCAAAGAGTCACTACCTTAAATCTTTCTAGTATGAACCTTAATGGAATGGTTCCACCACAACTTGGAAATCTCTCGTTTCTCATTTCCCTCGATATCAGAAACAATAGCTTCTATGGGAGTTTGCCTGAGGAGTTAGCTCGTTTGAGGAGATTGAAAATGATCAATGTCATGAATAACAACTTTACTGGTTCAATCCCATCATTTTTCGGCCTGTTACCAAACCTCCATTCCTTGTACCTTTCGTTTAACCAATTTTCGGGTAATATCCCTCCATCCCTTTTTAATATAACAAAACTAAAGTATTTAAGACTACGAGGGAATTTTCTTGCTGGAGAAATTCCTCAAGAAATCACTAGACTTTGTTGCCTGAATTCCATAGACCTGCAAGATAATAAGCTTATAGGATCTATACCACCAACTATGTTTAACCAGTCATCACTTAAACAGATTGGTCTAACAAATAACAATCTTTATGGGAAACTTCCTGGAAATATATGCGACAATCTTCCAAATTTAGAGGTACTTGCACTTTCAAGCAATCGGTTTGATGGCTTGATTCCTCCAAATTTGCAGAACTGCTCAAAACTTCAAATATTATCATTGTCTCAAAATGATTTCACTGGAAGCATACCAGCAGAGATCGGGAACTTAACTATGCTGATAGCACTGCAGCTTGGAGTTACCTACTTGAAAGGTATTATTTTCTTATGTTTCATCTAGCAATACATGCAAGTGCTTTTCAAGCATATATTTTCCCTCGAAGCATCTAAAATGGGATTCATCAATTTCGCGTGCTATTTAGTTTTAAGAGATGTCTTTCTATTTCTCCAAATGCATTTTGGATGTTCAGTTAATTTTAATTTTTGTCCCTTTTCCTCATTGCCACTTCATTTATATTCAATCAGTTGTGTGTTATTGAATTTCCTAATTTGGCAGGTGAAATACCAATGGAGATTGGATACCTTCAAAAGCTCCAAATATTCGGGTTGTATCAAAATACGCTGAGTGGCTCAATTCCAGCAAGCCTTTTCAACATTTCATCCCTCCAAATCTTGACCATTGTGGATTGTCAGCTTTCAGGGAGTCTACCATTAAATGTAGGCCAAGGGACACCAAATCTCCAAGAAATTTATTTGGGAATGAATAATCTCAGTGGCCTTTTCCCTGCTTCAATCTCTAATGCATCAAAACTCATTGCTCTAGACCTTTCAAACAACAGCTTTTCAGGCTCCATTCCTGATTCCCTAAGTAAGTTAGAATTCCTTCAACTTCTACAGTTAGGGCAAAACAAGTTGATCGACCAGAATCCCTCTTCAGAATTAACCTTCCTGACTTCACTGACAAGATGTCGAAATCTAAGAGAACTGGTCATTGGTCCAAATCCCTTGAATGGCATTCTTCCGGCTTCTATCGGTAATTTCTCGAGCTCTCTCAGAATATTTTCTGCACCCTGGTGCAAACTCAGTGGCATTATACCAGAAGAAATTGGAAACCTAACAAATGTGATTATCATATCACTATTTGACAATGATTTGACAGGGTTCATCCCCAAAACTGTTAGAGGTTTGCAGAAGCTTCAAAGGTTTCTTATACAAAGTAACATGATAAGTGGGACTATTCCAGATGAAATTTGCTCTTTACAAAATATTGGAGACCTGAGTGTTAGGCAAAATAAAATTTCAGGTCCATTACCGTCGTGTTTGGGGAACCTTACTAGTTTGAGAAATCTTTATTTAGCTTCCAACAGATTGAACTCCAGTTTACCTGAGAGCCTGTGGAGCCTTCAAGATCTATTGATACTTGATGCAGCATCAAACTCATTTTCTGGTGTTCTGTCTCCCATAATTGGAAATCTAAAGGCTATTACAAAAATTGAATTGTCATACAATGACTTTTCAGGCATGATTCCTAGCATGATGGGAGGTCTACAAAAATTGATTAATTTTTCTCTATCACACAACAGAATAGATGGCCCCATTCCAGAGTCTTCTGGGAAATTGTTAAGCTTGGAATTCTTGGATTTGAGTTATAACAATCTAACTGGTGAAATACCAAAGTCCTTAGAAGCTCTTGTGTACCTCAGATACCTTAATGTTTCCTTCAATAAACTCAGCGGAGAAATTCCATCTGGTGGTCCTTTCGCAAACTTCACCAATCAGTCTTTTGTGTCTAATCATGCATTATGTGGTGTATCAAGGCTCCAAGTGCCTCCATGTCAAGTCAAGTCTCCGCGAAGGGCGAGGAGAAAAAGAGTGCTTTTCTCGATCCTGTATAGTCTTTTGGGAATAACATCGGTATTTGTTGCATTAGCCGTTGGATTTCTTATTTTAAGAAGAAGAAGAAATAGAAATGAGCCATCAGGATTAACTGATCAGGTATCATCCATGAGGGCCTACGAAAGAGTTTCGTATTATGAACTTCAACAAGCAACAAATGGATTCAGCACGGACAATTTGCTTGGTATTGGGAGTTTTAGCAAGGTGTACAAAGGGATAAAGGATGGGATGACATTCGCAGTGAAGGTATTCAACCTGGAACTTGAAGGTGCATTCAAGAGCTTTGACACAGAATGTGAGATCTTACGCAACCTTCGGCATAGAAACCTGACGAAAGTCATAACTTCTTGTTCCAACTCTAAGTTCAAGGCCTTAATATTGGAGTACATGCCAAATGGCACCCTTGACAAATGGTTACACTCTCATGACTTATTCTTAGACATGTTGCATAGATTGGACATAATGATAGATGTAGCATCTGCCTTAGACTATCTCCATAACGGTTATTCAGAGCCAGTGGTGCATTGTGATTTGAAGCCTAGCAACATTTTGCTAGATCACAACATGGTTGGCCATTTAAGTGATTTTGGGATTGCGAAACTGTTAGGTGCAGAGGATAGTTCTAGACAAACTAAGACTATTGGGACCATTGGATACATTGCGCCAGGTACCTCAACTTCTTCTCTTATCTTTCTCGCATGATGATTCATCTATCGAACTAGTATAAAATACTTTAAACTGATGATTTCTAACATCATCATTGCAGAGTATGGACAAGATGGACTTGTATCAACAAGTTGTGACGTCTACAGCTTTGGTATCGTGATGATGGAAACATTCACAAGGAGGAGGCCTAGTGATGAAATGTTTACTGGAGATTTAAGCCTAAAACAATGGGTAAACAACTCGCTTCCTTCTGGAGTTACACAACTAGTGGATGCAGATTTGATGAGACCAAAGAAAGAACCTCTAAATGCTGAGATGCAATGCTTGGTTTCTGTCATGGAATTGGCTTTAAGCTGCACTTCATTGTCACCAGATGCAAGAATCAACATGAAAGAAGCTCTTTTGGCGCTCAACAAGATAAGACTTCAACTGGTCACCACCAAGCTGAACATTGAAGTAAGGCTGAATCCAGAAAGTTCACTCCAATAGAATTTGGAGAAGGCTTGTTATAATAAGAGTAGAATAAAGATAACAGGAAGCAACCTCTTGTTGCTGTCTGTAGGCCTATCTTATTTATTTGTTAGCAAGTCACCTTTATACTTCCACCATGTCAATTGATTAGCATTATATAATAATTTGAAAGCAGGACTAAAGAAAGTTATGGTTAGTGAAGTATGCATAATGCACATTTGGAAACAGAAACATGACTCTAGTAATTAGCAGAACAGTTGGGGAAAAGAAAGAAATTACATAAAGCAAAAATACTTTAAAGAGGAATAATTTAGCTTGAAACAACTCTGTACAAGAATAACATCCTTCTATCTATATAGTCAATGACCATGACTAATCTAATCCATGGCATTCGGACCAAAACATCTCTTCCTGAGAGGGTTCCAAACCCATTGAACAAGAAACTTTCTCCCTTTCACTCCATGCAAATTGAAGCCATTCCCCCAAGAATCCTTATACACTTGTCCAACAAATCCACCACCAGCACCAGTTCCATAGACACCCAAGCACAAATCAGCAATCTCAGTAGGTGCAATAGGATCATTCCCAGCATACCAAGCATTCACAAGAGGGTTACTTGAGACCTCAGCAAGCTCATGAGCTATCACACTGATCATTCCGTCGACCCCCGGATCACCATTTGGTGCCCCCATTAAGCTGTTTCCTCCATTTATTGTGCTTGGTGGTGGTTTCCCTGAATTCTTAGGCCAAGCAAAAGGATAAGCACAGAAACCAGGGCATTGTTTCCCACTATAACCTACCCAAGCATAAGGCACTGTCACTCCAAGAATTGATGGGAATGTGAAGTAATGAAAACCACATACAGCCCTACAAAATTCTTGAACTTGAACATCATAAGATGTTAACACTAAGTAAACTCCATTCTTATAATTCAAAGGTAGAGCTTTAGGGTATGATCTGACTGCATTTTTAATCACATATTGCACGGATAATCTGCTAAGGTACTTTCCTTGTGAGTACTTGAAGTCAAAGAATTCACCAGAAAGTGAAATGGTTGAGATGTTTTGGCCAGTTTGATCTGTGTAGAGACGAATGGTTCGCCACCAATCAGCAACAGAAGGATGAGGTGCATAAGAAGAAGAAAATGAGTTGAGAAAGTCTCTGATGGTGGCTTGATGAGAAGGGTTCCAATTGCCGTACCATATTATATAAAGTTTAATAGGAGAAGAAAGAACAGGGCCCATATGGTATTCAAGATTAACAAGATCAGAAGAGCCTTCATAGTTCTTATTTTCATTGTATGGACTAATCCAAGAAAAAGCAACAAGTGAGAAGCAAGAAGAAGATAGCAGCAACAAGAATTGGAGATAATGAAAATAGTGAAGCTTATTGTCCATTTCTCTGAGTTCTTTGTCAGTATGGAGATAAAAGGATTGCTTCTATGAGGAGATTTCTTGGGATATATATATATAGAGGGAAGATTGATGAATTTATGGGGAGATTGATACATCACGCGTTCGAGCCATGGAGACAGCCACTAATGATTGGGCTAATTTTTAGCCCAAATTAATCCATGAGTAAGTTTGTCAAAATATCTTAGAAATAATTTTATTTTTTGTTTAATATTTTAAATATGACCATAACAAAAGCAAAAAAACCTTATTTAGTAATTATACAATTTATAAGAAAATAACACATATTAATTAATGTTTAATAAGAGTTGGGCGGGTTGGGTTATGACCCGAATTTTAACCCATTTTGACCCAACCCATCTTAGCCCAAGTAACTTTTGGACTGGTCATTTGACCCGCCCAATTATTGACTCAACCCATTTTGACCCGCCCAAAATTGACCCAACCCGCCCATTTGACACCCCTAATGGTAGACTATCTACATTATATCCTTAGGTGCGGCCCTTTTCCGGACCCTGCGTGAACACGTGATGCCTTGTTCACTGGGATACCTTTATTTTTATGGAGAGATTGATAGATAGATTGGATTCTTCACATTACTTTTATATTCTTTCTTTGGAAGGAGACAATGGAAAATCGAAAAGCATGTCAACATAATTGATTTGTTGTATCATAACATCATTGTTTACTTTGTTTTAATGATGGTCATGCATGTTACTAACTTACTACCTCTTTTTCTTTATTCCATCTAATGCCTAAAGAAATGGTAGTTGTCCCTCTATGTCTAACCAACCTTCTAATAGATTCTGTAACAGCATTTATACCAATTCTGGTAAACATTGGGATCTGCAAGGAAACATTTGTTTACATTAACTAAAATCTTTACATGTCCATTAATTGTATACAAATCTCACATGGTTTTACCAGGCTTCCAGACTACTCCTTATCTTAAAGTATTGGACAAAATCCTCATAGTTTTTCACGAGGGGTCATTGGACCCTATTAACCTCGGCAAAAATTATATGTGCATATATATATATTGGAAACGATTATATATTTTGACTGGAACCCTTACGATCAAAAGTCAGATGGTGCGCTGGTCGAGCAGTTCGCTCATGTGCCTAGCCACCTTGAAAATCTTGGGTTCGCCTTTGATTTTATGCATGGCTTGTGAAGAAAAGGTAACCAGGCCAGAATCAAAATCATTCTCGTTAAATGTTATTTTAAAGAAACAAATTGACTTACTATAGTTTTGCCAATAGTAAAGGCACAAAAGGTGGTAACATAAACAAAAAGTTGAAAGGTGGTAACATAAACAAAAAGTTGAGTCAAAATCATAAGTGTGAAACCAAATGATGGATGTGTCACTGTGTTAAAGCAAGCATGTGATACCCTTTCTTCTCATTTTGCCTTGTTTGTAAGGTAGTCATTATTCCTTTGTCAAGATCTTTGACAATTTGTTTCCCCCCATCCTAGGAGAAATGTCATATTCACACTTTATATATGGTGGAGTAACATGCATTGACATCTATCTATCCCCCATTTTTCGACTTTAAACTGAGGCAATTGTCAAAAGGTATAAAAAGAATAATTTATCATTTTGCACCTACTATTTCCTGATTTTGCCCCATCTATCACTAATTGAAGAAAAAGTGGAACTTTTCACTTTGGAGAACAATCATAACCTTCACTTGTTTATTGCAGTAAAGCTCTTTAACCTCTAAACTTATTATATTACGAGCTTAAAGATATATATTTTTTTAATTTGTAACAAAAACATCACTTAATTATTTGTGTAAAAATTAACTATTTCCTAGCTATAAGACAGTGTATGCTCTCATGTGCAAAGTTTTTGGTGCTCTTACAGGTAAAGCTACATACTTTAGAGAATAAGAGTTTACCTTTATTTCTAGCTCTTTAGTTGGAGTTGATCATGCGATCACTTCTTGTTTTAGTTTTGGTTTTTTGAGGTCACTGTATTGGGAAAAATCAAGTTAACATATGGAATTAATTATGTGCTGATATATCAAGACACATGGTTCAATGAAAGAGTGACAACTGGTGAAGAATATTCGAAGAAACATGAGCCTTAACAGGCACGGGCAAAAATGCAAGAAAACAGGGAGGAACGGTTACTCAGACCTCTTGATAATTCGAACAGACATCGGAGGAATGAACCTATATAGCAAAAAGTATAGATACGTATTATCCGTAATATATGAGCATCAATGATGGAAAACATTATAAAATCTTCACGAAACAGTTACGATTGCCAATTATAACATTACATTAAATGTCATTAATTGCTCATAATGACTCTGTTATGAGAGGAAAGAAGCGTATTACTTAGAAATAGCTATAAAAGGAGAGAAATAACATTTGTAAGGACACAGAATATTATTGGAATACACTAATTTACTTTGCTTTCTTTTCCCTATTCAGCTATCGTTTAAGTCAATTCTTCTTATTTATTCTATAATTGCTCATAATGACTCTGTTATGAGAGGAAAGAAACGTATTTCCTGGAAATAGCTATACGAGGCTTTAAATAGTTTTAGCTATGTATTTGATTAAAGGAAAAAGGCTCTAATATACCCCTCTACTTTGATAAATAGTACGTTCATCTCCCCCGTTATACTATCAGGCCATTTAAAGGCCTACCATTAGGAAAGTGAAAAAAATTACCCTTATTTTTAACCCTCGTCCAACAAGGCAATTAGAATACCATCTGGAAGCCAACGTGGACAGATCCGACCCGTAACCCGTTAATATAACCCGTTAGATGCCTTCTCCTTCCCAATACCACCATAGGCATAAATTCTAGGGTTCATATCAGAGAATTTTTTTGCTCATCTTCTCTCCTTCTTTCCTCGATTGTGAAATGTCTCAAGGAAGCTCATCTACTCTCGTCTCTCATCAGATTAAGTGCCATTGTGGTATGATAGCAAGCAACTTAACTTCGAAAACTATTTCTAATCCTGGAAGGAAGTTTTATAAATTTCCTAAGCCTAAGGTTTGTTGGTCTCATCTTCTAAGTTTGGTTTTTTCTATTTTTCAGTTGTATAAAGTATAAGTGTTTTAGTCTAAATGTAATTTATTGTTATTGACAGGATTATTCATGTCGATTTTTCTTGTGGGAAGATGAAGTTTTTCCAGTTAATCCTATGAATGCAAATAGAGAATTGGGGTCGACAATGGATGTTGTTATGTTGGACATAGAGAAATTGAAGAAGGAAGTAGCTTCCATGGAGGCTAAAAACCATTCTCAAGTGATTAAAGTTGCAATATTGGAAGAGAAAGTATCAAACATATGGATCATTCTGTTGATAATTTTAGGACTATTTTTGGGGTTCGTTGCTGCTTCAATGAAGAACTGATTGGCTTAGGAGATGTGTTCATTGTAATGTTAGCTCTAGTTGGGAGTAGTATGTGTCTAACTCCCAAGGGTGTCTAATATTAGGTTGCATTGCTACTTAGCTGCTTTGTATTGTTAATGTTTCCAACTAATGAAATACTGGTTATTTTTGTTGTTTAAGTATAAAGCTTTCTTGTATCATACTTCCCTTTATCACAAACACAACATAACTTCAATATAATTCCCTTTGTAATGTATATCCCCTTGTGACAAACACAACATATTACAACAACATAATGAAATATATAACTGGGCAGTCAGCATAACTTCATTAAAAATCAGCTAACACTTCATTAAAATTCAGCTAGCACTTCATTAAAATTCAGCTAACACTTCATTTAGCAACATAAACATAACAATTACATAACT